TTTGCTTTGTCCCATTGGTAAATCATGTTTAAAGGCTCAGTCAAAACTGTCAGAGAGTGAGACCAGAGAGTGAGACCAGAGAGTGAGACCAGAGAGTGAGACCAGAGAAAGACCAGAGAGAGACCAGAGAGTGAGACCAGAGAGTGAGACCAGAGAGTGAGACCAGAGAGTGAGACCAGAGAGTGAGACCAGAGAAAGACCAGAGAGACCAGAGAGAGACCAGAGAGAGAGAGACTAGAGACACAGGAGAGAGACCAGAGAGAGAGAGACCAGAGAGTGAGACCAGAGAGACCAGAGAGAGACCAGAGAGAGACCAGAGAGAGAGAGAGACCAGAGACACAGGAGAGAGACCAGAGAGAGAGAGACTCAGAGAGAGAGACCAGAGAGAGAGACCAGAGAGAGAGACACAGAGAGAGACCAGAGAGAGACCAGAGAGAGAGAGACGCAGAGAGAGACCAGAGAGAGAGAGACGCAGAGAGAGAGACCAGAGAGAGACCAGAGAGACCAGAGAGAGACCAGAGAGAGAGAGACGCAGAGAGTGAGACCAGAGAGAGACCAGAGAGAGAGACGCAGAGAGAGACCAGAGAGACCAGAGAGAGACCAGAGAGAGAGAGACGCAGAGAGAGAGACCAGAGAGAGACCAGAGAGACCAGAGAGAGACCAGAGAGAGAGAGCCGCAGAGAGAGAGACCAGAGAGAGACCAGAGAGAGAGAGACGCAGAGAGAGAGACCAGAGAGAGAGAGACGCAGAGAGAGAGACCAGAGAGAGACCAGAGAGAGAGAGACGCAGAGAGAGAGAGACCAGAGAGAGAGAGACGCAGAGAGAGAGACCAGAGAGAGACCAGGAAGAAACCAGAGAGAGACCAGAGAGAGACCAGAGAGACCAGAGAGAGACCAGAGAGACCAGAGAGAGACCAGAGAGACCAGAGAGAGACCAGAGAGAAACCAAAGAGAGACCAGAGAGAGACCAGAGAGAGACCAGAGAGACCAGAGAGACCAGAGAGAAACCAGAGAGAGACCAGAGAGAGACCAGAGAGAGACCAGAGAGAGACCAGAGAGAGACTAGAGAGAGAGACCAGAGAGAGACTAGACAAGATAATTTTGCTTTGTCCATTTGGCAAATCTTGTTTTAAGGCTCAGTCAGAATCTGCTCAAATTAAGACACATTTAGGCAAGTTTTAGCCATTTTTTTCTTATTTTTCTTCACTTTTTGCAGTGAGCGGGTTGTTGTAGTCCTTTTCTATCAACACAGGATCTTTGTGGTCCCTCGCTTGTATTTTTCGCCCTGTTGTCTTTAGGTCACAAAAACCCAAAACATTTCTCACAGTCTCACATTTGCTGCGATCGGGGCTGAGGGCTCTTCGGAGGCAGAGGACGAGGACATATGGCGGCTGTGAGCAGGTGAGACAGACGGCAGCAGGAAGCAACTTTTCCCAAGATGCAACGCTGAATATATTTGCATGACAATGTGAGAAATGAGTCAGGTAAGTTTGCATGAAACTGTAAGACTCTCAGACAGAGCGAGAGGCCGACGAGGACAACTCAAATGAAACTGATTCTATAATAAATATCAAGTTGAAATGTTATGTTTGCTAGAAAAATACAATCAAATCCAAACCAGGAAGTTCAGAAGTCCAATTTACAACTTACTTTTGGATTAATTTTTGTCTGCCCATTTTGACCAGGGGAGTCAAAGTCAAGGCCCGGGAGCCGAATCCGGCCCGCAAATGAATGATCTTGGCCCCTGGGATGATATTTGATTAGTATTAGAACCGGCCGAACAGAGACGTACGAAAATATTGGATTATTAACTTAATGTTCAGGACGTGTGTTTGTTTTTGAACTGGTGACAAATGTTTTCACTTGAAATGACTTTTTGGCCTCTGATGTGTTTGAGTTTGACGTCCCTGTTTTAGGGATTTAAAGCTGGGATACGTATAGAATATTATAATAACATTCCTGCACATTGGTCGCTGCCTTTCTGGACCAACGGCTCTATCTGTTTATCATTTCACTTTCTGTGTTTGAACGAGGGGTGGGAACCTTAGGGAACCTCACGATACGATACGATACACAGCTCACGGTAACGATACACGATTATCTCACAATATGACGATGCAGCAATTATCGATATATTGGTCAAACATATACCTACAATAATATTTTTCATGTATTTATGGCATAAAATAAGTGAAAAAATACACTTTATTAAGTGTCCTGTGTAACATTAAGTGAAGAAGAAAAAATGCCTTTTAACCTGCACATTTTAGTAAAAATCTAACTTAATCCGTCTCACATCCAATAAAATCAATATGAACATTCTACAGAAATTGCAGAATGCGTAATGTAGCCATATATAAAGAATAAATACTTATTTTTTCTTAAAACAAAAATTGAAAAAAAATAAAAAAAATAAATAAAGAATCGATACTTAGCAAAAGCATATCACCGTATTGATAAATTGTCCCACTCCTAGTTTGAACGATCTGCACAAAAGTAAGATTTATATACTGAAAATAACATTATGCTTATTTTTTAATGGAAAGTTGTGTAAGAGTCACTATTGGACCCTTTGGGCTGAGAGCTAATTGGCCGAGTGAGGGTGGTTTTCACTTTTCCACTGTTCTGTTCTGTCAGAAAAAACGAAAGAAAAAAAAAAGACAGACAAAAAATAAAACGTTTTTAGAGCCAAGAAATACATGGATTTCTTTTTTTACCGAGTTCCGTTGTTGTGGTTTGAAAGTCACATACCCCAGCTTCAACTGAATCCAACGCTGTGAATTTGACAAGATATTTTTTCTGAGTTTCAGTGTGTATAATGTATTTGTGAAATCTTCTTCTTTGTCATTGGGTCTGTTTAATGTATGTTTTGGGTTCTATAGGACTGGGTTATGATCAAGGCCAGAGCTTGTCCAAGTTTTCACCTCAAGTGCGACAAAAACAAAATCCCTTAAGGACCATCCCATCTTTTGGATTCTGAACCACTAGCATCAGCATCGGCCATAAAAAAAACCCTTATCGTCGATCTTAAGTCTCGGCGAGCTGGAGACAAGCTGATGCACGAGAGATTCAGTGGGTCAGAAAACTGTGGGAGAAAAGACAGACGTCAGGTCCTCTTCAAGGTCGAAACACAAAAAACTTGGAAAGAGTTGCAAAATTGGCAAAAAAATAAAAACTTGGGTCCTATATATTACGTGAACGCATTTGGATCACGACCATCTCCTTCCAGGCGTCACTTCAATCTACTCTCTTTGTCATTTTTTAAAAGTCTTTCAACAGTGATAATTAAAATTCTGCACAGAAAAAGTTGGATTCAGCAAATGTTTTCTGAAAGAGTTTACGTTTGCCAGATGCCAACAGTTACTTCAAGTGTTTTTAAGTGGATAAAATGCAAAGGGTAATGAGGAGTTTGTTCTGGGTTTGGGATCCAGGACTGGTTTTTTTGGGAGTTGTAAAAATCGCTTAAAAACTTGTAAAGAAGTGAGGGATTAGTGAGAGAGGGAGGAATACTGTATGTACTCTCGAAACACATTGGTTAGAAAAACAACCAATCAAACGGGTTGAATGTGTGGCTGGATAGACCTATATTTGGGTCAGAATTATAAAATTGTTTGACTAAGTAATCGTTTTTAATTCATATTTTAGCGAAAACAACTTTTTACACTTCAAAAGACAAAACAAAAGATACATTTTCCTTGTTTGCTTCACCTGAAAAGTCTGTGTTTGAAAGTCTGCGTAAATGAAGTAAAACAAAATTGTAAATGGACAAATATGCTTGCTTACACACATACAGTGCGTAATTTGAGCCGGACCAGGCCGTGACACATTCCGACACCTCTACACGTGTGCGCGATCAAGACACACCGGCACTATCGAAGACTTCTCCAGACCCCTCAGGCAAGCAGTACTGCCCCCTAGTGGCACCACAGCAGCGGTAATGGCTCTGGTTTACCCAACTACAATCAAGATTGGTTAAATTTTAAGTTTGAGTTGGTGGGTTAATTTGTAAGTAAGTATAAGTCTTTTAAGTCACTTTAGGTCTCATAATGCATGTATTTTGAACCTACCTACTTACCGACCTATCTATCTACCGACCTACCTACTTACCTAACTAGCTGCTTACCTACCTATCTATCTACCTACTTACCTCGTTACTTACCTAGCTGCCTACCTAGCTATCTACCTACTTACCTTTCTAGCTACTTACCTAGCTATCTATCTCCCTAGCTACCTACTTACCTACCTATCTATCTCCCTAGCTACCTACTTACCTACCTATCTATCTCCCTAGCTACCTACTTACCTACCTATCTATCTCCCTAGCTACCTACTTACCTACCTATCTATCTCCCTAGCTACCTACTTACCTACCTATCTATCTCCCTAGCTACCTACCTACCTATCTCTCTCCCTAGCTACCTACCTACCTATCTATCTATCTCCCTGGCGACCAAGGCATGTCACACATACTCTACTTACGCAGGAAAACCAACAAATCAAATGTATTCTAACATTTTTACCCAAACACATGATTAGAAGTTATATAGTTATATAAATTTAAAACAACGTGCTTAACTTTATATTTGGTCCAGTTTGGGTTAAATCTAAACAATAAACATATTTTGTTTTCAGAAAAATCTACTAGAAAATAACCATGAAACTCAAGTCACATATTAGTAACATCAAAATACCTTCATAATGTAAAAAACAAGAAAACTATCCATCCATCCATCTTCTTCCGCTTCATCCATTGCCGGGTTGCGGGGGCAGCAGTCTAAGCAGAGACACCCAGACTTCTCTATCCACACGCACTCCCTCCAGCTCATCCGGGGGGACCCCAAGGTGCTCCCAGGCCAGCAAGAAAACTAAATATTTTCTATTCTTTCGGCCCCAAACCAGTTCCTACTTTTTTCATTCGTCCCCGGACCAGAGTGAGTTTGACACCTCTGTTCTACGTCATAACAAACCTTCGACATGTGTTTAAACGTCGGCAGTACTCACACGTTGGTGGTGAAGATGCCGTAGATCAGGTCCTGCTCCGGGAGGTAGAAGGTGCTCTGGAGCTCGTTGTAGTAAAAGGGGATCTCTCCGGAGCGAGAGCAGTTGAGTCTGGCCTTCATGAAGGTGGTCCAGGTGTCCTCCAGCAGGAAGCGCCCGCCGATGTCGTTCTTACAGACGCGAGCCACGCGGGAGTACACCGTCTTCCCACAGTCGTGCTCCACGGCGTTCTCACGGAGGAAGAAGAGGGTGAAGAGGCCGATGTCGTAGGCCGAGATGAAGTGAGGCTCTGGGGAGAGGAGAGACGGAGGACGGTCACGACATGGATCTCTGACACTCACTGAGGTTTGGATTCAGCATTTTCAAACTCTTCTTAACTCATTGAGTGCCAGCCCATTTCAGAACAGGTACTCCCATATTGCCAGCCGTTTCTGATGGTTTTTACTGATTTTTAAAGACCCACAGAATATTGTGTACTATGACTGTCTGAAATCCGAAACCAGATTCTAAAAGAATGGACTGTCTACTTTCCTCAGCAAAAAGAATTTTGTTTATAGCTTTTTTTGTTCCCCTGTAATCCTCCGTCGAGTAGAGGGAAGTTTTACTGAAATCACCAGAAAGTTGAGAAAAAAGAGGCACAACATGTGCACCTAACTGTTTTCAAACCATTCAGAGAGCAATGCTGCCACCTGCTGGCTCGATAAAATATGGTCTCAAGTCATCCTAATACATATTAGATACAATAGACATCTGGGAACGTGAAAATAGCGAAAAAGGCATTTGACGTATTAATGCGTCAATGGGACACAATGAGTTAAACATGGATTTTTTGTCATTCACTGTAAAAAAATGTAAAAGTATTTATTCTATTTATTTAAATGATTGTATTTATTGTAATTATCTAATTTATTTCAATTATTTATTTATTTTCAATTGTTGTATTTATTGTATTTAGTTCATTCATTTTATGTATTTTATTTTATTTTATTATATGTCATTGTTTTATCTATTTTATGCAATTTTATTTTATTTTATTGTACTTTTTATTTTTTTTTATTTTATTCATTTATTTATTTCGATTGTATTATGTATTTCAATTATTTTATTTATTTTATTTAAAATTAGGACAGTACATATTAATCCATGTGTCTGCAAACGGCCTCTACATAAATATGATGGAAGTACTGTAGCACAATAGCTAAATTCCATCTTTTGTCCTAAGGCAGGTAAGAAACATACAACATACAGTTTAAAATGCTTATTTAAAAACAATTTAGTTGTTTTTATCTTAATCTGAGCTCATTCTGACTGTGCTCAAACAATCTTCGCCAATGGGACAAAGACATTTAGTCAGATTTTATGAACAGTTGCTTTATTTTCTCTTTCCAAAGGAGACATCCATCCATCCATCCATTTTCTACCCTTTAATCCATTTCTGGGTCAGGGGGGTGGCAGTCAGAGATGCCACCCAAGTCTCATAGCACCAGCCCCTCACTGACCCTCTGCAGGTGGTGAGTCCACAGGAGGAGCAAAGGAGACATTTCTTGCATATTTATATAATGAGATAATTCTGCTTCGTCCGATCGGCACGTTGTTTTAAGGAAGTCAAAATGTGCTCAAATTAAGATACATTTACCAAAATGTAAGCAATAATTTACTTATTTCGTGCCATCACTTTTTGCAGTGTAGATATTAGTGTCTTTTATATATAGTCACAGGATTGTTGTTTTAGAGCTGTCATTTAGCAAAGTAATACAATCACTCAAACTAGTTCTTTATATGCTCCCCCTAGGACACGTTATGGCCCGTCATAACGTGTCCTTCCACTGCTCTGCGGACAACACACAGATATACCTCCCGCTGAGACCAAATGACCCTGGAAGTCTGGCTGCTGTGGTCGACTGTTTTAATGAGGTGAACCGTTGGATGGCCCACAACTTCCTTCAACTCAACACCTCCAAATCAGAAGTCCTCCTCATTTACCCGCCTCCATCAATATCCCACATCCAAACCCACCTCGGCCCCCTGTCCTCAAACATCACTCCCTCAGCCCGTAACCTCTGTGTCATTTTTGATTCTCACCTTCCGCTCCCACATAAAAAAACCACCCAATCCTGCTTTTTTGCACCATCTCAAAGATTAAAAACATTCTCACTCCTCCCGATCTCCATAAAGTCGTCAACGCCCTCATCTTCTCCCGCCTCGACTACTGCAACTCCCTCCTTTCCGGTCTCGACGCTAAATCCCTCTCCCGCCTCCAACTGGTCCAGATGCAGCAGCCAGACTTCTCACTGGTTTTAACAGAAGGGAGCACATCACCCCTGTCTTAGCGTCCCTCCACTGGCTCCCTGTGCGTTTTAGAATTGATTTTAAGATTTTACTGATTACTTTTAAAGATCGTTTAAGTCTGGCACCCAGCTATATTTATGAACTTTTAACCCCCTACAAGCCCCCCCGCAGCCTTAGATCGAGGCTCCGGACGAAAGGTGACCGAGCCTTCTCTGTCCGGGCTCCTCAGCTTTGGAACCACCTGCTCGAGGAGATAAGACTCCATCAGTCTCCTCTTTTAAATCCATCCATCCATCCATCCATTTTCTACCCTTTAATCCATTTCTGGGTCAGGGGGGTGGCAGTCAGAGATGCCACCCAAGTCTCATAGCACCAGCCCCTCACTGACCCTCTGCAGGTGGTGAGTCCACAGGAGGACAGCTGCTCTCTGACTGTGAGCAGAGCCTTGATCTTTCAGTGGGGGCTTTGGGCAAAGTGGGGTTAAGTGTCTTGCCCAAGGACACAACGACAGCAGTCATCAGTGGGAGTTGGTTGAATACTCTTTTAAATCACTTCTAAAAACCCACTTTTATAAAACAGCTTTTAATTGTCAGCTTTAAACTTAAAATGTTGTATTTTAGGCTGCCCTTTGTCACCGGTTCTGTTCACTGTATTTATGGACAGAATCTCTAGGCGCAGCCAGGGGCCGGAGGGGGTCCGGTTCGGGAACCACAGGATTTCATCTCTACTTTTTGCGGATGATGTCGTCCTGCTGGCTCCAACGAACCAGGACCTGCAACATGCACTGGGACGGTTTGCAGCCGAGTGTGAAGCGGCTGGGATGAGAATCAGCACCTCCAAATCCGAGGCCATGGTGCTTGACCGGAAAAAGGTGCCTTGCCCTCTCCAGGTGGGTGGAGAGGTCCTTCCTCAAGTGGAGGAGTTCAAGTATCTCGGGGTCTTGTTCACGAGTGAGGGGAGGATGGAGCGTGAGATTGACAGGCGGATCGGTGCAGCGTGCGCAGTGATGCGGTCTCTGTATCGGACCGTTGTGGTAAAGAGGGAGCTGAGCCGAAAGGCAAAGCTCTCAATTTACCGGTCAATCTTCGTTCCCTCCCTCACCTATGGTCATGAGCTGTGGGTAATGACCGAAAGAACGAGATCGCGGATACAAGCGGTCGAAATGAGCTTCCTCCGCAGAGTGGCTGGGCGCTCCCTTAGAGATAGGGTGAGGAGCTCGGTCACACGGGAGGAGCTCGGAGTAGAGCCGCTGCTTCTCCACGTCGAGAGGAACCAGTTGAGGTGGCTCGGGCATCTGTTCAGGATGCCTCCTGGACGCCTTCCTGGGGAGGTGTTCCGGGCACGTCCCACCGGGAGGAGGCCCCGGGGAAGACCCAGGACACGCTGGAGAGACTATGTCTCTCAGCTGGCCTGGGAACGCCTAGGGGTCCCCCCGGACGAGCTTGAGGAGGTGTGTGTGGATAGGGAAGTCTGGGCGTCTCTGCTTAGACTGCTGCCCCCGCGACCCGGCAACGGATAAAGCGGAAGAAAATGGATGGATGGATGGATGTTGTATTTTACGGTCTGTCCTGTCTTTGTTTTGTCTTCTTGTGTTTCCTCTGTGTGTCTTGTCTTCTTGTATTCTATCTTATTGTTTTAACTTTGTATTATGACTGATTTATTGTTTATTATGCTGAGTGTGCAGCACTTTGTAAACATTGTTTTTGAAAAGTGCTTTACAAATAAAGATTTATTATTATTATTATTATTCCTCTAATCAATGTATTTCTGGATGGCTCTAAATCACAACAGCAGTCGTCTCAGGAGAATTTACAAAACTGCCGACTCCTCCACAACAGATGTGAGAATCAAACACATAGAAGCCATTGGTCCAAATGAAGTATTATTTGCAAAAATGAGAGAAAGGTGAGTCATAATCTTATTTCTGATGTTTGAGAGTCTGTGGTTCGCACTCATTTCCCACAGAGGAAAATGGTGATGTCATGGGCTGTGTCCAAAACGCTAGGCATCGGGCCGCGTAGGGTGGATATGTAGGCATCGTGACGTCACTTCCGCAAGCGACGGCTATTGCAGGGGTGTCCAAAACCACTTGGCGAGCTCGCCAAGCGTAGGCATCATGACTTCGTCTCTATGGAAACGGCCACTTTTGGAGCAGATATGAAGGATGCATCTGATGTATGCTTCGCTGCCTTCTTTTTGCCGAGTCACGGCCGCGCATGCGCAGAACTCCGTTCGGCATTAACATGTAAACAACAGCTCGGATCTGCTGGAGCTAACATTATGGTAAGCACTTTACTGTGAAGTTATGTCTATAGTAAGTACTGCTATACTTTACTGTTGAGTTATGAACACGACTGTTATGATAAAACACAGACATAAATTAGATCTGCCACAGATGTGTGTATTTAACCTTGTTATCTCCTGTAAATAAGCTCAGTCCCGAAAAGCTAATGCTAATGCTACGAGGCTAGTTCATTCAGATTCGGTTTTTGAACAAGAAAAATCATGTTGTGTTTTATCTTTTAGGGAGAAACAAACCCATTGATTAAATATTAAAGCTACACTGAGGAAATAGTCACGTTTTCATGGAAAATCACTCTGCAGCACAGCAGCTATAGTATGCTAACACATGTTTTCTGTATTCATATAAAATAGATTGTGCATATCGTTTTTAATCCCATACTGAGACTGGGAAAACTGTATATATTAGACATATGAAATTATAGAATAGGCCAAGAATAATTATAAAGCCCTTTTCATACAATAGTCTAATAAATAGTAAACACACATTATACAGAGGTTTCGTTTGTCATTAAGACATTAAGACAGCTCCCCCCTGGACTGCCACCTTAACGTGGTGGGGGAGTTTGAGTACTCGGATGATCCTGGGAGCTATGCTGTCTGGGGCTTCATGCCCCTGGTAGGGTCTCCCATGGCAGACAGGTCTCGGGTGACGAGTCAGACAAAGAGCAGTCCAGAAGACACCATGGACAGCACTCA